TCAAGGTCAAAGGAGAAGACGAAGAGCAAAGAACAAATTACGCCAAAAATGGAGACAGACAAGGGAAGAATGAACAACAATTGGATAGAACTAGGAAAGAAGGCCCATTACAGATTGGGTTAAAAAATGCCGGTTGTTGGCCTATGCTCCATTAGGAGTAACAGGCGTATGTAAGTAAGTAAGTAAAGAAAAGTATCTAAACAATTGTTCTTGTGCATACGACCCAGGTTTTAAATCATAAATACCCAAATCTTCTTCAGTATAAAGCCGATTTATAGTAAAAGAGAACATACAAGTGGGACAATCGAATGTATCTGAACGTAAAATTTTAGAACCTCTTAGTAACATCTGAGAACCGTACAGTAAATACTTCATTTGCAACATGTCAGTCAAGTGTCTTAAACTTGAATGTTCCTTCTTTCCCTCATCAATCACTTTCTTTTCTTCAATCTTCTTAACCCTCTGTCACCAGTCATTCCACTTTCTACTAGTGATACACACTACTTATAACTGTTGACATCAGTAACACATATCAAAGATCAAAGCGTTCACCTATTGGTATCTTTGAGTGAATTTTATAGATGACGTCAAGTGACCAGTCAGCGGCTGAATATTCAGTGTCTACAACATGTCACCGAATTTGCGATATCATCAAATAGTGTTACTATTTGATAAACTACATTGGTAGATGCTCTCGAATGTAATAAAAAAAGTAGGCTCAATGAACGACCTAAATACCTCTCTTTAGAAGAACATGTAAACTGTCAGTTATATATTAGATTGGTCAAGATTGGCCAATTTTCTCTCACTTGAATGCATTTAAGAATATGATTATTGTAATTTAAGTAGATGAAACATTTTCATGAATAAGGTTCACATATTTACAGGAAATATCATAAATTGAATATTTTATATTGAATGTTAATTTTTATCTTCCTGATTGTGTACGTCAAAAAATTGCTTAGAAGTGGATTGTCGTTCAACATAGATAGGACTAGATGATATATTTTATATCAGAATGTTAATTGATAATGCCTGTGAATTGAGGCTGGAAAGAATTGCCTAGGACAGGGTTGGATGGAGAATGCTGGTAAGCGACCTATGCTCCTTCACGAGGAGTAGCAGGCGTAAGTAAGTAGGTAAGTGTGAATTAGGGCAGTATCAAAGCAATACGCACAGTATGCACATATACCAATAACAGACTGATCAATTGCAATGCGAGACATCAATGGGAAGATACAAACAAACAGTACCAAGTGAATTTAAACTTCACCCTATTGTACAAGCAAGTGGCGATTAGGACTCAGTGATCAAGTGGATAACGTGATGGTATTTGAACTGGACAGTACTGAATTTGAATCCCAAAGTGAACATCAACTCTGAGATGGAGGTACATCCAACTAACGAGCCCCGAATAGAATGAAACATGTGTCCTGGACTCTATTGTTAGTCGCTATGCATCTTTACTTAAAATTTAGCACAGTCTGTTCAACACCATCATTTTTAATAAACGGTAGCAAAAGATGATTTTTCTCCATCATTGTGAATGATTTGAATAATACCTAGAGTCATACATGCTATTTGGATTTCCCATAAAATTCTTGATTATGATTGGTTCATCCCCATAATATACTTGTAACGAGTCTTTTTATTCATCTAAACATTTTCAATTTTCATACAAGAAAACTACATCACTTTACATGTAAATAGAAAAACAAAAGCATCAAGAATGTGTTAACCAAAATACTTGTACTATCTTATCATTATAAGTCAATATCAATGTGACTATGAACAATGAATAACCCCATATGTTGTTGTTACATTACAAACCGATAATTCGAACACTATTTCCTTCTAAAACTACTGAATATATATGTTCAATCCTAGTTATTGTTTCACTAAACATTAATCTTATCCACTATGTATGCATTGTTTTACATATTACAATGATTAATTTCCAACCATTTTCTTGTGTACACATATTTCTGTACAACTGATTATATCTTTAAAGAGATTGGTTTAGTTTCTGATAGTAACAGAATATAATTCTACTGAGTTACTTTGTATGCTTTTCTTGTATGAATTCACATATGACAGGTTTTGGAACATAAAAGTGAATTTCTAAACAAGATATTTAGAAACTAGGATAAGGCTGAAAACATTTCTTCCAATTAATGCATATACTATGTAAAGTGCTAGAAAATTAATGAATTATATATCAGACTCTGATTGAATGATTATCTGCTTTGTTATTCAATTTAATGTGTTGGTGGAGAAGATTTGTAGCTCAAGTGGATGATTTGGGTGGAGTTTTGTTCTCTGAGCTGGATGGTTTGATCGTGGAGCTTTCATCATCCTTCTGAACGACATCGTCAGCACAAACTTCAGGTAAAAGTGAAGTGTTCGAATTTCTCTACATGTGGTTTACAGTTTGTCCTGTACACCTCGATGTTGATGTGTTGAGAGGTTCAACTTCAATTCTACCTGAGGATTGTGCTGCTGATGTCGTTCATAAGAACGACGATAGTTCCACGACCAAATCATCCAACTCAGAGAACAAAACTCTACTAAAATGTAATGTGTTTCAAGAAGCCGTTGAAGTTTAACAGTTATCAATTCACCTCTATATAAGTTTATTTTCTGTAGTGATGTGAACCTCAGAGTAAAGATTTTACTCATATTTTACTCTTTTACTTGATTGTTCGAGTCAAATTGTAGAAGTTGTTTACAGTTACATGAAGCAACTAAAAAGTCAGTAAAAAGCGGTGAGATTATAATTTATGGACGGCCTTTGAGCGACACTGAAGTGACCGCGAGAGTGAAGACCTACTGATTAAGATTGAATGAGGGCTATAAAGCAGTTAGAATTCTCATTTAAAGTTAGGGTTAAAAATTAGATTTAGGGCTTTCATCACTAACTGACATCATCTATAATGCCAAAACTCTTGCCGTAATAAGCATTCAAATTAAAGACTTATCATTAAAGTTTAGGAAAATCCTGGTAATATTTTTCGAACAATCAGTATCCATACTATTCACTTTCTGTTCTCGTTCTTTTCTCTTCGATTTTCTAAACCTTCCGCAACCAGGTTTTTCACTTTCGATTGGTGTATACATACTATTTATGTTTGTTGACATCAGTAGCATACAACATACTACAACTGTAGATTAGAACACGAAGCATTTGTTATTAAGCTAAGAATTTATAAGCGCAGTCAGCTTTACAAATCAATGATATATATATGATAATTAACTTATGTATTTTACAGCATGAAATTCCTTAGTTGGATGACCATTGTAAACAAGGAAGCAATGGACATGTTCTTCAGTATAGTTTGGGGCTATTCAGAAGGACGCATCCATGACCCCACCGAAGATCTAACTCGAAACTCTCATGTCTTGTGGGGAGCGCAGCCTAAGTGCTAATCGCTTGCTTTGAGTCATGAAGAGTCTGTTTTTGATTAATAGATAGATTTATGAATGCTTCCTTCTGGAGAGTCTTATGTTAGAATAAAACAACTTTCGAGTGCTTTCCGATTTTCAAAAGTTATCCAACTATGATCGTTTTGTCATGTAAACTACAAAACTCAGCAATCCCCCTCAAACCCCTCACACTAAATACGTTCTATCAAGTAAGTCTCAATATTTAAGTTTTCCGTGAATGATTATGTCTCACTATATTTAAGTTTATTCAAAAAAGGTGAATTGATGATAAAGCCTATTTTATTGTCAATACTCATCATAGACTGACTGATCCTGCTCGAGTTACCATTTGGAGCTAAATAGAGATGATTAGTTTTTTCGTTTCAATATGGAGCTGGAACAACCTCATCAAGGAATGAGTATGGTATTAATTGGTTTTTACGCTATATTACAGGCTTTTAGAAGTTGAATAGGCACAGTAAGATGATGACACCATGGCTCTAATAGATAGACCTAAGAGTTCTTTCTTCAATTGTTATCGTGTTATTGGTCAACACAACTGAACAGTTTCATACTAAAACGAAACATTCATTCAGTTTCCTCTAATTTTCAATGGTGCTTAAACATTTGATGAATACAAACTATATATTTAATCAATCTTTTAGATGGTGGTTGGAGGTAGGAGGTCAGTCGCGGCTCGGATAGCTCAGTGGTAATGTCTCTGACTGTGAAGCTGGGTGACACGAGATCGAATCCGCCAGCGATCACCAGTTCCCTCAAGATTACAGGTACACCTTGCTGACGAGTGCCAAGTATCATGAAACCCGGGTCCAAGGTTTCCTGTCGACTACCTTCAACCACCATCTAATCTCAATATATAGTGCCCACAGTGACGAGTCACCTCAACTGGTGGCCACATTGCAACATGATCGATAGAATTCGATCTGCACTAATAAAGACTAGACACGCATGACATTGATCACGACCTAGTGATCAATCAATTGTGATTTAATCAATCTTCACATAATCTTATCAACTAAAATTTATTTGTATGTTAAATTCTTTGTAACGTTTTTTTTCTCTTTTTTGAATCGATGACATTATTAGAAAAACTAAATTAACTCATATATCACATCATAAATAATGATATATATATGACCAAAATAAATAACACTTTGAAGAAATAATCTTTAAGCCTTTTTTTACCTCCCACATTATATATTGAAACTGACCATTCGTTATGTATTGAATATTTCATTAGATTAGACGACATGTTACATAACACATCTGTAGGCATTGGAATAATAGAACTCAAATAAAATCCCTGTCGGTGAACATAACATGGCAACTATCTTTGTTAGTTGTGTTTGTCGTTCTGATCTGTATTTTGAGACAAAGTAAATACAACAATCTAAGCAAAAATCTGATTGGTTAAATCCAAACTTTGATTATTTATCTCTGATTGGTTCATATATGTCTATTCGACTAGTTTTCGGCCCATTGATTATTGTTAAAATTAACCAATAAGAATGATTTGATGTAGGTTGCTATACAAATTAACCATCACTTTACAAAAAATAAAAAAAAACAGTATGTTTTACACGTGGCATTGGAACAAACAAACCACATTTTTATACGTATTGAATTAGTGTAGTTAATCACATTTTGTATTATTGAGAATTTAATCAGAACCGGGAATATAAATCGAACTGTGCTGGTATCCAGGACTTTCCTAATCATTATCATTATCATCATACATAACCAATGGCTGAATTTCGTAAATGTTTTGAAAACTTAGATACTGAAAAACGTGGTGTAATTACAATTGAAGATTTAAAAAATTATATGTATAAAATGCATTATAAAGAAACATTTTTACATAAATGGATTGAATTATTTGATCCTGAACATACAGGATTTATTACTTATGAACAATATTGTAAAACACTTGGTTTAATACCACGTAAACGTACACTTAGTAAAAATTTAACAGATTCTACATTATTATTATCATCAGCATCATCATCATTGTCTATTTCATCAAAACAAGATAATGTCAATGAAGCATTCATTGGTAGTTTTGATAAAAATATAAACGAGACTAATATTACTACAATCATTCAACAGTAAGTAGTATTTTATAATATTTACAATTTTATATTATGATTGTGTTGTAACGTGTAAAATTGCAGATTAGAGGTTAGAGAATCGTATTATCTACCAGATCAATGACACGTAAAACACGTAAGAACGACCTAGAGTCTCGACTGGCCGTGCTTCGCTGTCTAGCCCAACCAGTTGAGTTCAGAACGCAAGTTACAGCCTCTGAGATATGAATCATTATACTTCAGACATACTCTGTTTATATACCGACCAAACATACCACATCGTACCATAAAATAGAAAACAACATTTACACAATATTCAACAAGTGAAATAGATATTGACCAATAGGAAATGTCCATTTAAAGTCCAAGGACACTATTAGTTTTAACATGATAATTATTGGTATATTTTTTCTGAATATCCCAACAGATTGTAATGAAATTTGTTTATGAACGCTTATTTAATAACAAATAACATGAATTCCAAAATGTTGTTTTAAAGAGTGATATCCTAACTTTCAATATCCAGTAAAAAACACAATCATTTGTATTGAGAAATCTGTGTGCTTTTAAAAACTCTACTTGATTTGTATAAGAAGGCGGTTTTGTGGTTATTATAATAATTTCATTACTGTTGAGGAGTCCCACAATAGAACGAAACGGCCATCCAGTGCTTCCAAGTTTTCCATAGTGGTCTAGCTCATGATCTTAATTAATGAAATCTTGATTTATTATTCTTTCTATACTAAATAAACTGACTAAAAATGCCAGACCACTTTACTGAATGCTGTGTCTTGAGTGTATCATTCTGGCTTTCCAACTTTTAGTAAATGATGATTTAACTCAGTTAAAGCGGTTTTATGGAGATTCGCTTAGGTTATCAATTACATTTGCCACAAACTGATCTTAATTGAGATTCCATTGACATCAGGGAGCAATAAAAAATTTGCCTGATCATGATATTGAGCGCCCTTATTTGTGGAAACTCACAATCTGATCTTCAAGTCTCTCAGCAAACAATTAGACATTCGAACTACTGGGTCGACTGCTGTTGGTACAATCTCAATTTGTCATAGTTAAGCGTTTCCTGTAAGATCCGAAGATTCTAGTATCTATTCTTGGTGAGGTCATTGATAAAAACAGCTGAAGAATTCCATACTAAGACATGATCCTCTTTTTATCGACCTTACATTTTCTGTTAGTCTGTGGAGGTTTTGCTATCATTCTAGACGATATGATTAGTACTTATTTTGAGTGGAGACGTGAACTTTCAGATCCATAAAAAGTCTTACTAGGAAACTGTGGCTAGTGGAGTCTAACTATGTTGAATGTGAAGTAGTTACGGGTCAATTGTACCGATCGGTCCAGGGAATATCTGTACGCAGTAGCTAAGTGTATAACTCAACGGTGTTTGAAGCGAACAGTATTGGGTTTGAGTCTCGAAGTAAACTTCAAATCTGAGATGGAGGTACATCCAGCTAATGAGTTCAGGTGAAATAACAAAAGTGACAACTAAGAATCCTTTTCTTAATGTGTTGCTAAGTGATAATTAACATTATCATCAATGGATTCACCTGTAGTTCAAACAATTCTTTGTTTTTAGTTATATGATTTTCTATTTGTATTGTATAATTTATTTGTTAGTCAATCAACAAAATTCACTTCAGTTTAGTCATGACTATTTCAAAAGAAAGAAAAGGAATTTTTAATGATCAATTTTTCTTCTTTTCTTTTTGGTGTCTAGATTTGCATATTTTTCAATGGTATTTAGTGAAGCTTAGTTTATTATACAATCAATAGTGTAATGACATAATAAGTTACTAATTTTATATCGATGAGCATTTACAAATAAAATAATGAGAATATAAGACATAAGTAAAGGGGGAATGCAGTACTACTACTAATAATAATAGGATAATCAAAATAATTAAGGCCAAGGTAACGATAAATAGTTACTCAGAACGTTTCATAGAAAAGAATATGAATAGAAGTAGTAACGACAAGAAATCTAGTTGTTCCGTCTCGAAGAAAAACCTTTATATAAGTCTGGAATTTAAAAGTGATCGAACATCAAAAATTGTCTAACAACAACGATTCAATCAGTCAGTCAGTAACAAAGTAGAACTTCGTATGTACGTACATCAGTTCGAGTTGTCATACCACATTACAACAGAAATGCAGTTGTCGATTCAAATCCCTTAGAGGTAGAGGTAGTAAGAGTATAAGCAGTAATCAGGAAGATTAGAGTTTGGAGATGTTATTTAAAGAATATAATCTAGTGAAATAAATTTGGGAAGAGATAAAAGAGACAAGGAGGAATCAGGAGATTAAAGTTTGGGAGAACACAAAGCACCTGAACCATTGCAAACGATTTTGAGCCATGTCATTCAGGGTCTCTAACCATCGGTTGTTATCATCTCGCGGTCCCCAACCAGATAGTCTACACCTACCAACAATGATTAGAAGAACATTTAACGCGGCTAAACTGCGAATAACCTTCACTAGTAGGAACTTATTTTCTGTATCCATAAAAGATAAGCTTCCGCGTCTGGTCGCCTCTATTTGCATTTACCAGTTCACCTGCTCTTGTAGAGCAAGGTACATTGGCCATAGCTAGAGCTCGCTTTCAACTCGGATACGGGAACATATCCCAGCTTGGTTCTATAAGGGTGAAAGGAAAGCAGTCAGGAGTTCTATACTTGAACATCTAATCGACTGTAACCATTCCACAGATCCAAGAAATGAATTTAAGGTTGTTTATATGATTCGTCCAAATCTACCCAGATTTCTTCGTATCCAACTCTTAAAAATAGCCGAAGCTCTTACCATCCAGGAGCTTAAACCAGAACTATGCGTACAAAAGAAGTGCGTCTTATCGTTATCGTTACCTTGGCCTTAATTATTTTGATTATTATAACAAAAACTAATTTTATATTGTTTGTTTGAAACTTCTCATTGATGTTTAAGACTGTAATTGATTTATTGGCATATATGTATCCTGCCTTCAGTTACTAGGATTATAAGGAAAGATAAATAGTGTCTAGCAGTGGAATCCAGGACATGCATTTCATCCAAGTGGCTAGTTGGACCTAGTGGCTAAGTGGATAACTCAATGACGTTTGAAGCAAACGATACTGGGTTCGAGTCTAAGGATGTAGGTACATCTAGCTGACGTATCCCAAATAAGATGAAACATGCATCCTAGCGATTATCCGTCTTTGATTATAATAATTAATTAATTTTTGACTCCATCGAGTTTTTTTTATTTTGAAAATTCAATTTTTCATCGTTTACATCAATTTTTATGCGGGTAGTGTTATAACATCTTCATCTGCATTTGAATTTGTTACAAGACTATGATTTATGGATGAAACGATGAAATTAATGATAGCAAGTCTTGGATTTTGGCCCGAAGTTTGAGATTAAGATTTTGAAACTAGTTGGAAGTGGTCAGAGATTCATTCTTACAATCTTAAGGGATTCGATACTCCCAGTTGAATTCAAACCACCCATCACTCAGGCTCACAAACTGTAACATAACCACTGAGTTATTCCAGCTTTGTGACAGGTCTGCTGATAAACTTGAATATTTATAATTGATTCTTAATAACGACTTCATCAAAGGATTGTACCCGACAACTTCAGTCCCACAGTGAACATCTACCTATTCAAACCACTGGTTTAGGATCCAATGGTACAATTTCAGCTGTAAATAATTTATGATATTTCACCAAGATGAACACCCTATTCATATAAGTGGTTACTTCAATGGCGGCAATATAAAAGAAAGATTGCATATAGTGATATAATATATGAAGAAAGAATTAGTTTGTAGAAAGAAAGATACAAAGCAATTTTATCTCACAGTTTAAGGGAAGACAAAGATTGTATGCACTGACGCAAATGTGATCTATTCTGAGCCATATCACTCAGTCTCCAACCACTAGTTACGATAGTCACACAGACCCTAACCAAACAGTCTGCATCAAAGACTAGAAGTTAGTGACTTCAAGCACTGATGCCACGTCTTAGTTTGGCCGCCCCTAACTTTCTCTCACCGGTCTTCAACACTAGTCAGCATTGCGCACTGTGGTAACCGATGTTCAGGCACACGTAACATGTGGCCCAACCATCTTAGCCTATATAGATTTACAGCCTCATCAACTGATTTACCATCATTCCCTAATATCCTGAGTCTAAACTCACTACTATGTACCCCGTGATCCCAGCAGGTAGGAGCATTATTTCGGAGACATCTTTCATCAAATACTAGTAAATTACGTGTATCTTCTACTCCTAATAACCACGTTTCGCAGCCTTAAAGTAGAACAGAACAAGCTGCCGCGCAGTATACTCGTCTTTTAATTGATAGACGGATATTTCGCCTTTGTCATAGGTGACATTAATTTGCAAAATCCAAACGAGCTTTTCGAACCCGTACAGAGATCTCGTCAGACACCAACCCACTGGGGCTGATCAGACTTCCAAAATAAGTAAAGTTTTCGACGCGTTCAACTACTTCACTCCCTATCCTTAGTTCAGGTGTTAACTCTGGTCAGTCCTGAAGCAACAATTTGCGTTTAGAGGGGGAGAAACACATATCAAATATACTGTCGTTGTTACTCATTGCTGCCAAAAGACTGCATTTTATCAGCGTCTTCGCCAAACTGAACTATATCATTATGTAAGTCGATAAATGAACCTCCTGGAAAGAGATCAGTGCCTGAACATTCAGTCAACGAGGTGTTATTTCCATTTGTATGTCTGTGATGATTATTTATTTATTTATTTATTTGAACACATAAATGTCTGTGGTGAAGTTCAACTAAAATGGATATAGTGGACAACTTTGTCGGGCACCACTTCAGGTCGCAAAATCAGATGACAGTTCCTGAATGTCTACCAATAATGATAGTTATTCTTGACTTTAAAGCAGCATTTGACTCTTTAGACTAAAAGGTTCTGTAGGAGTGTCTGCCATTGAAAGGTATACCTTAGAAGTACATAAACCTTGTGAAGTT